TACCCGTGGCGCCGGCGCCGGCCGATGACCTCTTTCTCACGCGCGCCTCGGCCTGAGCCGCGTGGAGCGCCGAGCGCGGACAGCGGCAGGTCACCCCCGCCCTCTCGGCTCCCCAGCCGCCCCTCCCCTGACGTGATCCATTGTGCGGCGCGCACACAGCCAACCGACAAGTGTAAATAGGTTTTGGAAGAAATGGCGGCGGGCCGGCGGCGTCAGAGGCTGTTGTCGGCGCCGGCGGAAGGCGAGGTGGGGAGCGGAGCATCGAGGATGGGCGCCCAACACAACACCCTAATAGAACGGTCATTAATCGTGGCGCTATCGACCATCGCCTCTGCGCTGCGAGACGCCGACCGTCGGCCAGCCGTGACGAGCCGGAGCCGCCGGCAAAGCTCCCGGTATGGGGCGAGAGTCAGCCCCCATCTGTGGTGACAGGCACGTCAGCACGTCAGCGTGCTCAGTCACCGGGCCCTTCAGCTGCGTGCACGGCGCGAGGAGAGGCTTGCCACGCACGAAAACAAACAGCGCGACTGCTCGGCGCACCGTCGGCGCCACTCACCGCATTGGCGCACGTGCAACACGTGCAACACGTGCGGCACGTATCGTCATGGCTGGGCGGCTGCCACACGTCCGGCTCGTCTCAGGCGGCACCTGTCGGTCGGTCACGCGTCCCGAGCCGTGAGGACTTGCGCCGTGGCCGTGACGTCTTTTTGCGGCGCGGGCGGCAAACATCACGGCCGTCTGTCCGCGGCCGGCCCACGGCTAGCGATTTGTCGGCCCGCCCCTCCGTCGCCCCTCTCCAGCGGCCTCATACCGGGGTTGGCACGGGCATGTCGTCGGCGCGATGGACAGCCTAATGCCAGCGACAGTCGGGCATGTGCCCGATGACAGATCTCCGGCGCGGAACACTAATGGTCGGCCGGGGCCTGGGTGTCGCCCTGACAGGCACATGTCCGCGTCCGATGGGTGGAAGCCATTCGCGACGCTGTCGTGGCCTAGTGATGAGACCCACGGGGTCGTCCGGTCACTTTGTAGTTACTAAGTTGATAGGGTGTTCATATCCGTGGAATGCGGAGCATTATCCAGGATTATATAAGGGGGAGTTGCTGCTAATGACCACATATAAGGGGACCTGCTGTAAGCAGCTTTAAGCCATCAAATTTCCATGGCGACGGAATCTGGCGATATATTGCTTAAGCAAAAATGCGTAAGAGCTGAGAGCCCTGGGTCTTCGAGAGTGCGCAACATCATCATGACGCCGATGCCCCCGAGACAACAATCCAGCAGGACATGACGGTCGTCCCGGGGCATGACTTCACAACATAAGACGCCTCGCCGCGTTACCTGTCGGCCGGTGTTGCAGACAGGCGCCTCTAGTTATAGATCAGAGCAGGCAGCCAGCGTGACACCGGTGGCTCCTGCCGTACCGGCGAATGACCGTGTGTTCGTCTATTGCAGATGTCGTGTCGGCCCCGGAGCCTGCTGCTCTCGTTGGCGGCTCTTGCGGCGCTCCTCACGCCCTTCTCGGTCGCCAAGAAGGGCGAGGCAGTGCCCGCCGCGCCGCCCTTCGACCCCGAGACGCTGGAGAACGTATGCGACCTACGCGACATGGTGCAGGCCGTCTACTGCTACTGCGACTTCCTGGAGAAGAACGATGGAGAGACGGCCAGCTGCTGGGTGTACAACACCACGCGCACCGCTGATCGCATTTGGGACACGTTCTACCACCAGACCGGCCTGCACCGGCTGACCATCAACCTACGCGGCAACGGCAGCCTGGACGCGGTGCCGACGCGAGCGCTCACCTACACCAGGCACCTCTGGGTGCTGGACATCAAGAACGCCCGCATCCACAGCGTGCACCCGGACGCCTTCGCTCGCTCGACCAGCATCACGGACATCTCCCTGGCCGGCAACAGCATCGAGCAGCTGGAGCGGCACGCCTTCAGCGAGCTAACCAACTTGACGCGGCTCAATATTGGCGAGAACAAACTGCACGTGGTGAACCGAAACGTCTTCGTGAGACTGCCGCGTCTGAAGCAACTCTACCTGGACCGCAATCGCATCGCGCGCATCCGGAACACTGCCTTTGTCAAGCTGGAGAACCTGCAGGAGTTGGAGCTGTACGGCAACAGACTGAAGGCGGTATCGCGTGGCACATTCAAGGGCCTTCACCGACTGCAGCGTCTGGACCTGCATCGCAACCAGCTCGAGGTCATCGGTGATCGTACCTTCGCCGAGATGTCCAGCCTGAAGGAGCTCGACCTGGCCGAGAACCACATCAAGTACATCGGGGGGCACGGTCTGGAGGGGTTGCCCAGGCTAATGCGTCTCAATCTAGAAAACAATAGGCTGGTTAACCTGCTGCCCGGCACGTTCGAGCACGCACCAGAGATTTTCTACCTCAACCTGCAGCGGAACCTGCTGGAGACGCTTGACGAGAGAACCTTCAGGCCCATCATGGACAATATGAAGAATATCACCATGTATTTCTACATGGCAGGTAAGAGGAGCAATGTGTAAATCTCCCACGTGGATTAGGCAAAACGAGAAATGCTGTCTATTTATTTGGTGTCTAGAACAAGCAAATAATGCAGAACCCAACGACGAGTTTTTCAACGGAAACAAATTAAAAACTCGACCAATGCTTCCACTGCTGTTTTTTTTTTGCTTGGTATTTGACCATGACGTTTGGGAAACAAAATGCCGTTTGTGAAATAATTACCAGGTGGTGATGATGCTTTCCTCTAATCAACTCATTGTTAAAACTAAAATGACGTAGAACCGATGGAACATGAATTGAAAACTCCTGGTGAATCTGGATGGTACGCCGTAGTTCCAAGCATCCCTTACTCAGCACCAATTTGGGAAGGCTTAGCCTCTTTAACAAATTTGCAGGAACCGTGGACAAGTACAGTATCTTGTACAATAATTAGGGAGATCATCGTAATTATTGCGAAGGTGTTAACCAACAGCAAGCTTCATGGGAGTGTTTCACATTGGTATGAGGGTTTGAACCGAAATAGTTATCCTGAATATCATTCGGCGCGTTCAAAGCTCTGCTTCTTTCGGGAGACTATTTCAAGGTCATTCTGGCAGCCTTGACGCCATGATAACGACATTCAAATCCTGCCTTTTCTTTAGCAAAGCAGTGATCAAGTTTAAGAAAATATCATTGTCGAATCGTTCACATTTGGCGTTCGTGATCATTATTTCCAGATGTAACGGGCGTCAATTTGCTCGCAATCAATATTGTGCAAGTTGCGATGACCTGTTGAGGAGCATTTTTACTAAACAGAGAGGTTGTTTTGTCTACAGGAGCCTTTCCACTTAAAAGTATATTGATAGTAATAAGTGATCTTATTTCACCATATCTGATGCTTTCTCCAATATCTTCAAACGTGGAACATTACCTTTAGTGAGACATGCTGGTAGGCTTCAGAAAGACACATGTTTTTGCAACATGTGCTTTAACAGTCAGTCTTGTGCAATTCAACGCACATATGGCGCAAGCATGGCCGCTCGCCGAGCCTGTTTGAACTGCATTCCTTGCCTTAGACGCAACCATTCGCAGGAGGAAGCGTTTTGCAGCCAAAACGCTAGCTTTAGTCCCACGCCAGAGCCAACTAGATCGATGAGCTGTGTCCAAACGACGCTCCCGGCAGCGGACGTTTCAACAGTGACGTACCGTGCCCCAACGGCCCCGCCTGCCAGAGAGCGCTGACCTGCCAGCCTGCCACGCCGGAGCGCCGTCATTAGCAGTTCGTATTTCCTGATCACTTGTGCGATCACTTGCAATCACTTGTGTGTGATCCGACTCGTGTTTAAATCAAGCCGAATCGTGAATTGGCTCACAAACCACTCTTGACTCAAACCACTTGTGTGTGATCCGACTTGTGTTTAAATCAAGCCGAATCGTGAATTGGCTCACAAACCGCTCGTGCTGAGGTGAGCCGCAAGCCGAGTCTGCTCGTTAGGACACATACCGTCTCTGGTCATCAGCTGAACCACATTCTTCGCAAATTTCATGAGCTGATTCGTGAGCCGATCATTTTTGTCAATGTCATGGCACTGAGCCATATGGCTCAAATTCTTCACTGAAAAAGATTTCGCCGTAAAAGATTATCTATTACCTATATTTCACTGTGCAAGATTGTCTACTACCTATAACACCGACAGGCTAGTCATCATTTGGATTGCCGATCGTCACAGCAACCAGCTAATCCATACCTAAGCCTTCACGCACTACTTGCAGTGCTGTAAGCATGCCATTGCCGAGAATTTATAAAATGGATAGCAATAATGACAAGATCGTCTTGTTTGACATGCGGTTGTGTGTCACGGAATGTGACCTCTCGGGATTGCATCGATAATGATTTCCAGTTTTGAAATAGAATCAATAAGTCTCATTTTTTAACTGGATTTTAAGTGAATATGAACGGCATTTAAGTAAGACATCGTAGGTGCCAGGTAGAATGTACCAGCCTAGGGCTGAGACTTGAGAGCTGGTTTGTAACAAGGTACAGGAAAGGTATCGTTTGCTGCGTTGCGCTTGGTATGTTCAAACCCACGCCTTCTGCTACGCTGCTTGTATTTGTTTGCTCTACCAATGTATATATATATATATATATATATATATATATATTGTGTGTGGGCTGGTCATCGTATTATATATATATATATATATATATATATATATATATATATTTGTATTTGTATTATGTATGAATAAGTCATATGTCTCACAAGTAACAACAAGGCAACGAGTCAGAACGGAATCGGATCCTTGATTTCGCGCGCCGCGTGGGTTATGGGCCAACTGATTCAACGCAAGCGATAATCTAACCTGGGCTGAATGAACAATTTGAAACGGATGAGTCATGAGCTCAATCGGATCCCCAAATCTATGAGCTGGCCCTGAATCAGTTCAAAAAAGTTTGTGTCGAACACAAGCCTGATTCGAATCACACCAATGTACTGAGGCGTCTGTGCCGGCCTCCACAAAAGGCGTTGTTCGAAAAACGTTTACTCCATTATCTTACGGGGTGGGACGGACTCCTGATGGGGACCCCTCATTACAAACGTAGGGCGTTGAATATCTACGTCAGAACAGGTCAGAAGCCGCACACGTGCTTGTGAAGAAAGTGAAACAATGGCGCGAAACTATTCACAAACGACACTTTCACCTTCGCTGTTCGGCCTTAGAAACTGTTCATTGCTTTGATCAATCTCGCGCAGAGCGTATAACGCCCACGGTGACGTTGTCCCCTGAGCGACACGGCTGTGAGTGCAGCCATGCTGGATTAGCCCGATAAACAGGCTGCAGCCGAATTACGCTCGCTGGCGTGGTGTCTCGGCACCGCGGGGTGTGAGACCAGCTGGCGGGAGGGCGCCGGCACCACCCACTCCACCCACAGCTGGCCTCGCTCCTCAGGCAAGGTCGCGGATGACGGATCGGTCGCACTTGGCCGCCGCCACCGCCCGGTAGGCGCCGGACCCCCAGGCCGGCGCCGGCCGCCCAGCGCATCGGTGGACGGCTGAGCCTCCCTCGGCCGGAGAACGCGGCACGATCTCGCCGGCGCTGTGGGCTCGATCTCGGCGGCGCGGCGGGCTCCATCGTATCGGCGGCGCCTGTCCGGCCGGGTTACGCAGGACATGACCCAGGGATGGCTCGGCGGAACAGCCTCGCCGAATTATGTTAGGGCTGGCCTGCTTAACGATGACGCTGCAGTACGCGCGCCCGGAATAGTTGCCGTCCGACGCCCGCGCCCGTATTCCGCGCAACAAGACTTTTGGGCTGGAGGAAGCCGCCGAGCGACGTGACTTGACGTGACGTGACGTGACGTGACGTGACGTGACATGACGTTGAGACGCCACGCAGCCCGCGGTAACCAGAGCAGTGGTAGGTGGACGGTGCAGACATGCGCTGTTTGTTTTTCTTGCGTCTCGTGTCGGCTTGGCGGCGCTCTACCTTAGCGACGCGTCCGGAGGGCGACTCAGATACGGATGGGCCAGTGCGCGTGCAGCGGGCTGCACGGGCCGCCACCACTGCTGATGTTCTCAAGATGGGACCGGACGTCGCGCGTGCCTGCTGCCGGCCAGACAGCCGTGAAGGCCTGCCGGTGTGTCTGACTCTTACGAGGCACGCGTCTGATCTAACTGTTACCAGCCACCCGCGTGGTCTGACGGTTGCCAGGAGATTGCTCAGCTGTCCGCTGCTCATGTCTCTGCTACCACATTAAGTAATGACACAGAGCGTGGCGTCATGACCTCACCTCGTATAAACGACCCGCGTTGCTGTGGGATGTCCATGAAAAGCGCTATTGTCGCCGCCTGTCATCTCACCGCGTTAAGTGCAGGCACTTTCATGTCATTGATGCGAGTCGGTTGCTGCATTGGCAGTACGCTCCGATAGCGGGAAGTTATTGTCACTTGGCTGTGCTATTTGCACGAAGGGCTGACATGTGGACGCATTGAGAGGCCCAAGCATTCGCTAGCAATCGTACGGACCCCCACGCCCAAGGTTTGCACAAACCATGCCCACCCTTGAATCCATTTGGTGGCTTTGCATCCATCAACACAGCAATGACAAGACCGCAGCGACATCACAACTCGCACAGTACCCTAGAGGCTCCTGTACTAGCCCTATGTATCCGGCCACTGCCGTTTGAGAGGATCCCATGCCCCCTCAAGGGACTCTTCCGCTTCTGCGGAGCATCCACTGCTACTTTGGCGGATCATCTTGCCATTTTAGGGAACACACGATGTTTCAGAGGATCTCTGCTTGTCCAAAAGGCCCCGTACTGCCTCAGAGAACCTCCAGTGACTTCAAAGGGCCCCTGACGCTCCAAAGCATCGTTTGGCCACTCCAGAGTGTGCCACCCCTGTCCTGGGAGCGGGCTCCCGCGCATCGCATCCGCCTGGCACAGCGACGCCGTCTGGCAGTGAGGGATCGCGCGCCTGACGGGTAGCCCGGGTCGGAGCCGACCGGCCGGTGCTCTCGGCCGTCGACCGCCGCTGTTTTTGTCGCCTTCCGGCAGAGGGTCGCGGCACCGCGCCCGCCCCGCCTCTCGCGGCGCAGAGCCGATACAAATGGACGCCGTGTTTGCTGGGAAAATAGAGCGTGTTTGAGGAGCCTGAAACAAAAGAGGTGCGGCAGCCACAAAAACAGCCTAATGACGTGGTTGGTAAACTTTTAAAGTGGGAATGACCGAGGCTGATTGGCGGCAGCTGCGTGTTCGATCAAATAGTTAACAGGTAATTTATTACCAGTTCCCATCACACAAGTCAAACGACTACTTCATAATATTCTTTCATGCATAGGTAAACTGTGAGTTCTTGTTGCTCACCTTTGAGTAAAAGACGCAAGCGTGGCGCTAAACAATTATAGCATTTTTACAAGTCAATTTTCAACCCCTACATTCGGATCAATGCGCACTTAAATGTCAGGCCATAACGACATTCAACAGGTCTCTGTTTTGTCAGATGAATTTAAATACGTAG